TTTCTGGAGTATCAAAGTACTATTTGGAAAAATGGGTAACTCCAAATAAAATTATAATTTTCTCCCTCCAGCAAAGTCTACCAGTTATTTTTACAAAATAGGACTTCTATCAAGTCAACCTTATAATTAGAATAATAAAAGCTCATTTGAAATCTAAAAACCACAAGCCTTTTCGTGACCAGAAAAGGTTTAATTAGCTACTCAGATTGCTAAAATAATTGTATGTAGCTCCAACTATTTTTGCCACCCAAAAAGAAGAAATAGGAGGCTTCCCACTTTCATGCTGAGCAAGGCAGCTCAGAAATATGGACAACTTAAAATGCTGAATTAGCCAACAGCCTCAGTGGCAGTTTAACTGACAAAAGGCAGCATTAAACTAAGGACAAAACAGCCAGTGGCCATTAAAAAGGTTTGGTTTTTGTGGGTTTACTTCCTTAAAAAAAAAAGAAACCAAACAGAAACAAAACCAAAAACAAAACAACAAAACTTTGGATTTAATTGACCACAGCTGAGAACAGATTACTCCTGCAGGTCACACAGCCACGTTGGCTGTTTTACAGTCCTGTGCCCTCCAAGCGTCAAAGCCGATCTGAGCACAGCATTTGGAAGGAAGCGAAGGCTGCTGAAGGAAAGATTACCTGGGGGGATCTGTGCTTCACTCCAAAGAGAGCAATCCTTCACTGGCAGCACTTTTAATATCAGGCACCACCGAGAAATGCAAGAGACAGTGAAGCCTTTGGAAAGAAGAGAAAATGTTACAATCAGGAAAAAATAACCGTCTTGAAGTATTTTTTCTAAGTAGGGAACTTAATCCACTTGTATTCAAATACTGGGTCACCCACATATTTTCTCTCACATCTGAAGTTTTTTTCTCCCAAGTGAACTGAGAATAAAATAGCCCCAAAACCAAGATTTGAACCCGTTCAACAAGGATGCTACTGTAAACCTGGAGATAGGAAGCTCTGGATATAAAGGTGAGTATAAACAATCTGAGCTCTTCACTGACATGTACAGCAGCTTGTACTTGTAAATATTTCTTCTGTTAAGATCTTCAGGAATCAGTGTATGTCAGGGTTGATAGCAAATGTTCTTTAAACCATTTCCAGATACACTCCTGTATGTCAGTGAGCAGGTTAATGCTTCTCCCACGAGGCACAGTGTGTACCTGATGCTGTGGTGTACATCTGAACACCACCATGTTATGGCACTGGGAAACTTTAATAAAGCAGTTTTATCACAGGTACTGTTGAAACAGTATGGAATTGTGCTGCAATTTTCTAGGTTTTTGAATAGCAAACCCATAAACATTTTAAGAAACATTTCACAAAGAAACACTTTGAGAAGTGGCCTTACATGAATCGCATATCACCTCCAAATCTAAATATAAAGAAATCTGCAACATGGGATTATCTAACCCGGCACACCCTTTCTCCCCCACAAAAAAAAAAAAAAAAAAAAAAAAAAAAAAAAAAAAAAAAAAAACAAAAAAAAAAAAAAAAAAAAAAAAAAAAAAAAAAAAAAAAAAAAAAATAACCCTGGGTCTGCAAAGTACAGCGTGGTCACTACACACCCAGATGAAAGGAACCCCCACCTCTCGGGTGAGCGCTCAGGTAAGCAAACAAACACATGCGAAAAACTTTCTGTGTATTACGGAAACAACATTCAAGCCCTCCCCACCCTCCCCAGCTGCAGCTTCTCAGCCCCAGCCCGGCCCGTGCTGAAACCCGCTTCCCATTCCACGGGGTCAGGCGGCCCCGGGGAGAATTTACCTGTCCCAGCCTCACCAAAGAGTGGGATTATGGCTGTAAAACTGCTCCTCCCTTCCTCCAGCCACTCCTGCCCGACTCCCGCCTCCCTGAGCATCCCCGGCCGGGCTGGGGACCCCTTGTCCTCCTCCCCAGGCAGCTCCCGCCCCCAGAGCGTGCCTGCTCTCCCCGTGCGGCGCCGGGAGCCCGCGGGGGATGGGGGGAGCCGGCGACATCGCGTGCGAAGCGGCGGTGCCGCTCTGAGTCAGCGGCCGCAGCGCGGGCGGCAGCGGCGCTGGCTGGTCCCGCCGCCCGGCCGGCACGCAAGGCTCCGCTGGCCCGCCGAGCCCGCCGCAGGGAACGCCACCGCAGCCGCCCGCCGCCTCCTTGCGCTTTTTCCTTGCCGACTGCAGCACCCCGTTTGTGATTTTGGCGTTGACGTGTAAAATCTGGGAAAGCCTCTATGCGAAAAGCCCGCGGGGAAAGGCAGAGCGGTCAGAACGATGTCAGCTCTGCGCCTTAGCGCGCGTCCCGCATCTCAGCCTGCTCCTTCCCCTCGCTGTGCCCGCCCGCACAGCCCTCACCAGGGAACAAAAACTGCGGCGCTGAGATGGAATGTCTGCGTGTGTGTAGGTGTGAGTACCAGCCATCAGTTTCAAATATTTCACGAGGCTTTTTCCAGTCCTTGCCTTCTCAAACATCCTGTGCTGGACTTTCTGTTGCCGAAGGACTTGGGCTGTTCGCGGACGAGGGCAGCAACCATTGCTCAAAGCAGCGCAGAGCCCGAGGCGTGCGTTCCCTTAGCATTAATTAGTGATTTTTCCAAGCGTTAGAGGCGAGGGGAGCTAGGAAGTGTAAAAGCCATCAACAATCTGAGCCACTGAAAATGGTATCAAGTACCCACCATAATAAATACTTTTCAAGAAAGGGTGTTTTTTTGCAGAAATCATGAGCACCTGAGGGGGTTATTCCCCCATCTCAGAAACAACAGAAACTTGACATTTCTTAAGATTTCATTTTAATTGACTCAGTTGAACCAGTTAGACCACTAGCTTTTCCAAATCTGCAAAGTGAATAATAATTACTCAACAAGAAAGTTTCTATGACATGAATCTCACTGAAAGGAATGCTTCATTTATGAAGCCTCCCCAAGAATCTTGAAGCACTCAGTGAACTCTGCAACAGACATCACTGGGAATTGATTTCTGTACATATTTTTAAAAGAAATTACAGATTAATCTGTTTATTCTAATTGAGAATTGAGAGTAGATATGAAATACTTTGACATTGAGATATAAAATGGCCCTCTCATTACATGTCCCATTAATTTGTCCCAGGGTCCTTTTCGGGATAAAAATATTTTTTTCCTCCACCCAATTGCAGCCTGAATGTTGTCTCAGCTGCTAGTTTCTGTCTTAAAGGGGAAGGTTGAGGCAGTGGAAGGTTGTCTACTTCTGTCTTAAAGGCAGTGGAAGGCTATCTACTTTGCTCTTCATAGGTTGCCGCAGATTGTAGATTGTACAAGATATTAACTACCTGGAAGGTTTTCTACTTATTTTTTTTCAAGTGTAAAAATACATAGATAACTAACTACATGATCAGGAGCTTGAGTACAAACAAACACAGAGATCTACAGTCTGATTCTGTTTTGCCCATGTGCTAAAATCAGACATCAAACTGCTGTTCAGGATTCATCTGGCTTGGATTTTCTGGATGTTACATTACAAAGAAGCAAAAGGATAAAATTAAGTTCACTTAACAAAATGTAGACTTTGTTACATTTTAGCACAGAATTCATGCCAGCTACTGTGCTGCTCCAGCTGTGCAGTGATACAATACAGAAATACCACTGCATTGCATTGGTGAAGTCACACAATGACTCAAAATGATACATGAGGACCCCTATACTTTCCAAAACCTTTTCCTACTCTTTTTATACAAGTAGATTGAAAAGGCTGAAGTGCTGATTTCCAGGACACCAAATTCTAAAGAAAATATTCAGGCTCTTTCATATACTCATGACTTTCACTCTTTCAGAAATAAATACTTTTGAAATGTCAGAAGAACAAGCTCTATTCTGAGAAAGTTCAGAATGCTGAATTATTCCTTGGGACAAGAGAGGATTTTAGTTGCATGGCTTCTCCTTTTAAGTGTTATATTTAGGAGGGGAAAAAAAATATTGAAGAGACACATGGAAAAAAAGCAGGGAGGAAGTCATCCCTGTAGCAAAAGAGCTAAAGGACCTACCTAGATTTTTCATGTGGTAACTCTTCTTATCAACCAAAAACCATCTGCTTTTCTGAACCTCCTCCTAAATACTGGTCCATTTATGTCATACATATGCATGTTTGTTCATTGTGGCCAGAGAAGCACAGACTGTATAAGGAATAGGAGCACCAATGAATAAACCTGCAAAACATCTCTGCAGAACTGGTGAAGCCACTACAGATGGAAGAACTTGCTGCTCTCCTTGGGGACACTGATTTCCTTATGATTGCACATGGTAAAAAGGAACTGCTGGGACAAAGGAAATGGAAAATGAAGGGATTTTATTCCGCGCAAGTGGTTAAGTGCAAGTTTATCACTAATCTGACTGATAATTAAAGAAACAAAACAAAACAACAAAATAAGGGTCTGCTTTAGCCTATGCCACAGTCTCCCACTGTGATTTCAGAAAAATTGCCTACTTGCTTCTGCTTGCTAAATGAGAAAGCAGATTGATTTCTTTGTCCAGTGTGGGCATCTGGGCTGATGCAGTTACATGGGACTGATGAGGACCTGCTAGGTCTTCATACACAGTGCTGGGCATAGGTGTCCTCTCATAAACTGGTCAAGATAGAGAAACAATTTCCACTCATTTCTCCTTTGGAAAAGTTCATTCAGTAGCATCTCTGGCTGACCAATGAGATACACTTCCAAAGTCCTGTTTAGGTTGATGGACAGTTCAATTTACTTGCACTTGTTTTCCCAAATTATCTGAAATCTTCAGACATAAGATACAGGAGCACCTACTTTCTTCCCACCTAACCAAGGAGCACAATCAGTTGCACAATCAATTGTGGCTAATCTGAAAGATGCTCAGGTAGTGCCTCCTTCACCTAAGAAGAATATGAGCTTAGTTAAAAGTGCCTGAACACTCAGGGTTGTTAGCATTGCCTACAAAAACTCCTTGTGAATCACAGCTATGTTCTCAGCAGAATGGGATGCCAAGGCGAGTCAGATTCCACAATGGTCAATACAAACAAGAAACTTAAGGAAGTGTAACAACCAACATTTTTTTTTATTAGAGGGGCAATGACCAAGCCATACAGGAGGAATTAATTTTCAAGATTTGGCTACAGAAGAACTCTACAATTGCTATATTGCCTTCCCCATGCCCAGATGCTCGATTTTTTCCGGGGGAGGCTTCAGCAGATGCCTTCAGCAGATGCCTTCCCTCTTTTGGTCTTTGAAGGTGGGTTCCCTCTAGTGGCATTAAGAGGAGCATCGATTCTGTCTTATTGACTAATCTTGGTCCGTAGGAGGGGAAGGGGGAAAGGACACTGTAGGGTGTTACACACATCAGGAAACACTGACTTGTCTTCACTTGGCTAATAGCCAAGGACTCTTGTGTACCACAGGCTCTTTATTTTTTCAACCAGCTGTTCAAACATTATACTGACTTTATTTGCTTCTTTGGCGATTCTCTGTCTGCAGGAGACAACAGAGTATGTGGTAAGATACACAAGTATGTGAGGGTAATCCCCATCTGCTGTAGTTACCACTCTGCCTGTCATCGAGAGTGCAGAGCTCCCCAGCAGTCCTAGAGGGGCTTTCCTCAGAAAACAGGAATAGACAGTACATGTGTGCTATGAGTTACATGAAACTGTCTCTAGGGTGATTATACTTTCCCTTTTGTGAGGAAACTCATTCCTCTGCCTTGAGCAATAGATATGCACAGGTAGAGCCAGGTCTGTTAATATTGCATCAAGTTGTCCTGGCACACTGAGTACTCAGCCCCTCACAGCACTGCAGCACCCTTCCAGAGAAGCTGATTCCCCACCAGCCAGCAGCCTCCTCCCTCCCTACCCACAGATAAAGAGCAGTCAGTATCTCCCATCCCTGTGTACAATGTGCCTCCCTGGGAAGAGCTTTCACCAGCAGACCATATCACCTCACCCTCACTTCCACCACCTGGCTCCCTTTGTACATCAGTCTTTGGTTGCTGATTAATTTCCCCTTGGATCTCCCCATGGAGATAGCTGATGAATCTGTTCTTTCTCCCACACCTCCCTTTCCCTTTTCATACTTGGCTGTTGGAGTGTTAGTACAGAGCTTTCCATACCTGGCTGCAATAACTGTTGGACTCTGGACAGTATCCAACAAGAACTGACTGACTTTAGGGGACACCTTGTTCACAGCTTCATAGAAGTAAGATGCAATAGTCTCAGGGATGGCCAGCAACTCACGACGGTCTTTGTCAAAGATGGACTTGGACTGCACTTCTGAGAAAAAAAGGCAAAACCCCATGAAGCTTCTCATGTGTCTTGTATCTCTGGTATCTACCCTCAGGTGCAGGGGAAGAGATTTGAAATTCTGAGATTTAGAACCTATCCCAGAATTTGCTCTACAGCATTCAGCATCCCCTCTTCACCCAGTCCTGGGTATCTACGTCACATGGCAGAGTATTTGCACCAAGCACGGGCAGTTTTCATGCCAGGTTTCTACTGATTTGTTCCATGCTGCCAAGCACTGTGTATTCATCGTCTTCAACTGAATTATTTGGTTTCAGTCCTACTTCACGATGCATGAGAACCTGTAGAGCTGAGATTTGTCTCAGGCAAACAGCAAAGCTTTTCACACTTACCAGGGAGAGTGGTGCTAAGGAGCAGAATCAGAGCTATCACCAATGCCCTGGATTGCAGCATGGTTTGAGTACCAGTTCTGCTCTCTACACAGAGAGACCTGCAGGAATCAGCATACAGTGTTTGGGTTGTTTTCAGAGAAATAAAATATGTTGGTTAAACACCAGATTTTTGCAACACACCTAACCAATAAATAAAGACAAGAACAGAAAGATCATGTGCATTTCCTCTGAAGAAGTGAGAAAAAGGCAGTATAAAATTGTTTTCCTTTTCTTTGTATATTCACAAATATCCACAATAATAATTTTCAGAGCTCAAAGAAATATGGGCAGTTAAAGCTAGTTCTTTTATAGGAGAACTAAAATCCCATTTCAGCACTAAGCAAACCAGTAAAAGTGCCAGAAGTCAGAAAAGGTTTCCTACATGTTTAAGTACATCTGAAAAAAAAAAAATCATATTGTGTGATTTCTTAGTTTGATTTGTTTTGGTAAATTGCTCTAAAGAACATTGTGCTAGTAAGTACATCACATACAAAGTGACCCAGTGATCTGAGTACTTTGTCTTGCTTTAGTTGAGGAAAGTCCCAAGTTGCTAACTAGGTTCCCTTGTCTTTTTCAGTCTGCAGCAGACAGTAGCCTAAGCAGAACAAGTTCCCAAAAGTGAGAAAATGCAAAATTTAGCTTAATCTGACTTCCTTTACTTTGTCTTTAAAAAAGTCGGAATTGGAGAATTGAAAATTTGCTACTCGGTACACTGAAAAATAGGACACTACATCTAAAAAAGCTTTCAAACACACTGCACTTGAAAAGTTGTTTATAAATTAAAATTGATTTATGCCCCTAATTAGAGGGCTGCATCACTCAGAGCAACATGAAGACAACTTTGAACATAGGAATTACAAAGGCAAGATAGGCTGAAAGTCTATTATATGTGAATGCTTTGCTAAATCCTGTACCAGGTGGTTACAAATCAATGTTCTGTCTTATACCCCAGTAAGGAGATTTCCATCCATTTTTATTTCCTTCTGTGCAGATTACCTCCAAAAGCTACCACCCAGTTCACTGGATGTTTGCACAGTTGCTCCTTTATTACCCTTCCTTGATTTTTAATCCCAGAGTCAGTTTTTCTCTGTGTACACAAAAGGCAGAAATTTGCTTCCCAGGAGCATGAATAGGTGTTTTTACCTGCTTTAGAACCTGCAGTCCCTGTGGTGAAGGCAACTGAGAAAAGATAATGTATCTCCCAACACTGAAATTCTGCAACTCCCATCATGGGCTTGACCCTCCTATGAGTATCTTACGGAGCATCCATCACTCAGCTTCAGAACAGGTGACCCCAGGTACCCCCCACCCTCCTTATTTCAGCACCATTCCTGGCTATGGAGCTTGAGAAGGGCTCACACTTTGGTTTGCAGTTGGAGATGGGGCAGAATAGAAGACTAGCTCCACTCACTTGTCTATGAGCTAGATACACCAGTCACAAAGTCCAAGCCACCCAGAACAGAGTTCAGTTCTTACCTGTCCTGCTTTCTCTCTTTCTCAGGTCCAAGCTGAGGTAGGTGCTTGTCTGAGACCCCGGCATTTATGCACAGCTAATATAGTGGTAGCAAGGGGTCAAAGGTCCTGCTTTGTTTCCCCATTTGCTCTTTTGCAAGCACATCCAGCTCAGTGGGATAGGCAAGAAGCTGTGGAGGACTCTGGACCTGTTATTGAGATTTGGTAATGGAGGGTCAGTCTGACCTGAGCCCAAGAGATGTGGAAGGCAGCTTCTGGGTCACTGAGCCCCCTACTTTTGCAGGCAACCATGTCATAGAGGCCCCTTTCATAAACTGACCAAACTCCACATTAATAGCAGCTAGAGCTGGGCTAAAGTTTGCTCCCACTCTTCCCGTGCTCTAACCCCACTGCTCTGACTGTTTGCACTTACCTGCATTAGTTACACCAGTTTCCTCTCCATTTACAGCAAGTGCATTAACCAAATTGTGCACAGAGGTGTGCACTCCTCTCATGGTTCTTTCCCCGTGACAGACTCTTTTTTGCACGGGCTGGCTAGATGAGAATACATCTGAGACAGCTGTCAAAATTATGGGTTGGACTCAATGACTTTAAGGTCTCTTCCAACCTAGTCATTCTGTGAATTCTGTGAAATTACCAGGAGGAACATCCAGCTACAGGATCCCCAGCCCACAAAACACAGAGACGTTAGAGCAGATCCAGAGGGGCACAAAAAATGATCTTGGGGTTGAAGTACCTCTCCCATGGGGAAAGGCTGAAAGAACTGGGACTGTTCAGCCTGGAGAGAGATCTCCAGGGAGATCTTATTGCAGCTTTTCAATATTTAGAGGGTTCTTATAAGAAACACAAAGACTCCACCAAGATTTGTATTGACAGGAGAAAGGGAAACAAGTTTAAATTGAAAGAGGGTAGATTTAGATTGGATTCAAGGAAGAATTCTTTACTGTGAGGGTAGTGAGACACTGGAACAGAAGTTGTGGACACCGGAAGTACTCAAGGCCAGGCTGGATGGGGCTTTGAGCAACATGGTCTAGCAGAAGGTATTCCTGCCTAAGGCAAGGGCAGGCATCTCTTACAAGAGATGATCTTGTAAGGTCCCTTCCAACACAAACCATTCTTAAGATTCTCTGGTAACATCTCCCAAGGCTCCCCAGTCCCAGTCAAAAAGTGGCTGCACTGTTGCTGTGGGGAATGTTTTCCCGTAACTCATGTTCCAAGTGCCTCTTGGGTCGCCAGTACGTCCTGTCACTTGTGTTTGGCACAGGGGCAAGAGACAGAAAGGCTGCAACATTGAACTACAAAGGGCATCAGCTGGGGGAATGGGAGGACAGAAATTAAGCCCACTGTGTGAGACCCAACAGATTTCCATTCTTATGTTGAACACTTATTTATTAGGTGACTCTCACATGTGGGAAATGTGAAAAGCTCAACCAGTATCTTCATTTTATCTTTCAAGAGGACTTTTCCTCTCATGATGCACCAAGTGCTTTAGAACCAAACAGTAAGCGCTCTCTCATTCTCTCATACAGACACAGCAGACATGGCAGCCAAGCTACAATGAGTCACATCATTGAAGAGGGCTGCGAGTGGTTCCAGACGTTTTCCCACTCTAGGTATTTATCCAAATGATCTTTTTTCTTAAAAAACAAATTTTAAAAAGTCTCCCAAAAGAAGGAAAAAAAATCCCACATACAAGCAAACCATTTTGAATTTTTGTCCAAAAAAAAAAAACAACAGAAGACTCTTACTGATGTGTAAAAACATTAACTCAAGAAATAAGAACAGACACTTTTCAGTTCCACTTCTGGTGCAAACACTAAAAAGCAATTTATGTCAGAGGAAGAACACACTAGAGCAACTGGTTGAAAGTCTGCTTATATTTCAATTATACATTTTACAATCATTGAACAGAATCTACACATTTATAATCTTTTACAGCTGGATTAACATTCAAAAGACCAGCACAAAGCACATCATAGGCATTACACTTAGCAGAAACAGGAATGAACAGTCATTACTTGAAGGGGTTAATTTAAGATAACCTCATTTTATTTCTTATGTCATGTCAACAAATGGGAAGCTCTGAGTGGGTGTTTTAAACTGATGTACTGCAGGAGGTAGTAATAGAAGGGTCTTAGCTGCCCTGTGTGGTAATTCAAGCTGCTGAAGAGCTTTGCATTGTGGCTGCTACCACCCATGGCAAGTTCCCTGGCCCTGAAGTCAGCCTAACTTTAGGCAGTGCTATCACGAATACAATCTCAGAGATAGCAACTGGGTGTTTCAGCACTTTCTAGTGCCAAATGGGCACTTGCCAAGACCAGATCAATGATTGCACAGAAGCAGCCCTTGCCCCCATTCCTGGAATGGCATTCCAAAATGGCAGGGCGCTCTGCAAATAAGCAAGAAAGACAGATATTGCAAGTATTTTCTGCATCAAAGAAAAATTACATGACTCTTTATCTCTCTTATGCATCTCTTGTCTGAGATAGAAAGCAGCTGACTGTGGCATGAGTGACCTTATCTGGCTGTGTGTGGCATGGTCACTTACTTATTACATTATTTTAAATTAGGGTAACACTGGTGGCTATGAAGGCACTTTATCTGAGACAGAAGATTCATTCTTTGGGGGTAAGGTATATTCCTTGTTCTTTCAACAGGAATGGAAGAACAAAAGTTTAGAATAGAAGTAACTCCCATTTGTGAAATAGTCAACTTTTTCCATTACGAATGAGGTGACATATGAACATCAGCTCTCTGGAATGGCTAAAAAATGAACCATGAATCAATTGCAATGTAGAAAGAATGAGGCTAGGATATTTCCTACTGTTATTTCTTTCAGTGTGCTGTATTGCAGCTGCTCAGTTCTCTCTCTCTTAAAAAGTCAAAGACCCCGTGATCTTATAGAAAAGGGTCCATGTTGTATTGTGCAATGCTGCCACAATGGGTTTCATTTATAGCCAATTAAAATCATAAATAAGCATCTTAGCACCTTAGCTGATATTTCCTTCCCATTTTTCTGTCCACTTGTAGCTGTAAAGCATGCAAAGAGAATTTCCTTTGTCGTTATTTCACAGCCCACCAACTGGTGCTTTATGAACCACAGTGGTCTGCAGACCAGTAAGCCTGGTATCATTTCTGCTTCTCTGCTGGATCACCCAATCTGCTTCAGTCACAATTTAAGAAATTACAGAATTAACACAGAGCTACAATAAATTTTCCCTGAAGAGTTTTGTTTAATGTTTCTATAAACATGAACAAAGTAACTGAAGAGGAAATTAAGTATGACATAGATAAAACCCCTCAGATTTCACAATTTGTGACCTGTGTTCACAAGCTACAATTAGTCACCCTAGCTCAATTATGAGGACTGGACGAACAAATAAAAATGGAGGGCTCCTTCATAGGTGTAGATCAGAAAGCACCACCTCTGCTGTTAGCGTGCTCTTACTCCAGCAGCTGCAGCAGCTGCTCCTGTTAGAGAGAGAGTCATCTTGCTTTTCTTGCAGTGTGAGTGGCTTTTTGCTCTTGGGAAAACTTGCTGGATATGTGTTGGCTTGTACACATTTGAATGCAAAGGAAAGTGAACTCCTTCCATGCAACTATCTTGGGATCTCACCACAGGCCTCTACTAGTTGATGGAGAAAGGGGCAGCCCTTTCCTGAAAACTGGACATTTGGCCTAGGAGAGGAAGTTCTCTTGCATGATGTATGAACCTATTGGAGGCACAAGGAGAGAATGAAATTCCAAGTTACCAATTCAGCCTCCAAGGGTAGAATCTGCAGGACGCTGGCTATCTGCTAAAAGTCAGCAGAGGGTAAAGCTAATGTAAACTGTTGCTAGTTTTGAAAGAAGCAGCCCCATATAATTTTCTGTCATTGCAATCATCATAAATGCCTCCTAACTAATAAAAATATCAGTCCATCATACAAAAACGTAGTTCATAAAATCCTAAGCACACCATAAAATTAGAAAAAAATTATCCACAGACAGTGGATGATAGATTCAAGAGTGATCCTAGCTTTGCAAGTTCTGCAAACACAATTCCCTATATTTCAAATGTGACTCATGGGTCAATTCACATTGTTCAGTCTGGACCTAATGCAGACAAGTGCTATGCTAACTACAATCCTCCTTTCTTGAATTAAAATATTAGAGTTACTCTTTTAGCTCTTTTAAAATTTTTTTTGTGATATCCATCAGCTGTGGGCAAAGAGACCTTCTGTATTCAAAAAGAAGGCCTCCAGTGCTGAAACAAAGTCAACCAGAGAAGCTCTTTGGTCCTCCTGTTTTATCTCCATAGGCAGGAATTACAAATAAGCATGTTCAGCCAAGGAACTGCAGGAAGATGAGCACCCTGGGATAGCCCTGAGTTGACCACCAACTGCACTGGATATCCAACTAGGACCATTTATTCCAAGTGTGATGTTTCCCATCATTGTCCAAAGAAAAGAAAAAAAAGGAGGTGGACAATGTGAAAGTCTCTCCAAATTTTCCAGGGAAAAGCATAAGCACATCAGTAATGAGGACATTAAAAACAAACAGTAGCGGGGGTCCCATGTGGCACCAGCTGGGAAATAAGCTAAACAAGATAGTAATTGGTACTGGCCAATCTCCAGTGCCTCTGGGTTACAAAATAATTCACAAGATTCTCCAAAATCTCCTTGCCAACCTGGAGTCTCTTTAACCCAAGACGTACCTCTGGCAAGACAGTTTCCCATGGAAGCAGCCAGCATCCACAGAGCTTCTCTTTCTCCAACACATTTCAAATTAAAATAGTGGATTAATTTCACCAAGGAGAAATGACAACTTCTCCTTCACAACTGGTCTCAAAGCATAGAGAAATTCTGTATTCTAGTGTCAGGGTGAGAACTGAGGAAACCCTACAATCCAGCTGCAGATCAGATGCACCACACATACAGGGTTGCTGTAAGTGTCAGAGTAAAGATCAAGGATAGTAGTAAAAAAGGTGACTATAAGACTTCTTCAGAGTCCTTTATCCAGCCCCATGTATATGATACATGGCATGGAGAGGAAAGGGAGAATATAAAATATATGGAAAAGAGTACATGGCTTAGGCAAGATATATTCACC